AATTTTGATGCTAATTTCATTCAATGTTATGTGGCTGTTCCACGTAGCTTTTCTATTTCATTATTAGCAGCAGTTATACAAGAAGTTATACATGGCAATGCTATTTAAGCCTGGTAATGAATCCATCATTAAAGTGGGGATTTTTGCCTGCATCGGGGGGTCGGGATGAATATTATTCAGAACAGGAAAAGTAGTGATCATTCAGTAGAATACTGATTAAAAGTGTAATTAATGTTATACATTGACAATTCAACCCTACAAAAGAAGCTGTTTAGGTTATAATTGGCTTAACTGACCTCTGCTTTCAATGTTTATGTTAAGAGGTCGAATCTTAGATGGAGACAGTTTCTAGATAGTGTTGCCCCATTTTCGAAATACCCTGAAATACACTTATGAGCATAGGCCAGATACTATACCCTTGACAGTGACTATCAACCAACAAATCCATCATGAGTCTACTAAAACCTTGGACCATGGAAGCATCACTAGCAAATTTTACAGTATAAACTCTCACCAAGGTGGGAAATTTTATAGATTTTGTTGCTTGCATAATATATGACCTGATACTTACACAGGCATGTAACCATGTACTAAAATTTAATTGTTATTAATTTGAATTAAGAAAGTGTATCTTTGGGCCGGCCGAGTGGCGCGATGGTTAAGAACTCGCTTGGGATGCCAGAGGGCCCCGGTTCGGATCCCACATATGAGGGCCAGTGACACTGCCCTCTACAGCTAAGATGCTGAACAACAGCTCAACCTGGAGCTGGGCTGCTGTGAGTCGCTGGCGACGGCGTAGGCTGCAGTCCCTGTGGCAGTGGGTTGCCATGGGCTACCGTGTGTAGCCAGCAGCCAGCGTGAGCGGCCAGCAGCCGCAGTGAGCGGCCGTCCAGAAGCCGGCGACTGATCTGCCTAGCCAGGGAAGGGCGCGGTGATGGTGCCAACTTGGGCCAGTGGGGCGGTGTCCTCCACAGCTAGATTGAAGAACGGAACGACAGCAACTTGTCTGTTCCCCTTCCCCTAATTCCCCAGTACTGTTCCCATCCCCTCAATTACCCAATAAAAATCTAAAAAAAAAAAAAAAAAGAAAGTGTATCTTTTTTACTAGATTTCCAGGACTATAACTATAGCATATGTAATTTTAGATATATTTATGTATTTTTAATATATCTATTATAAAAAAAGATGGTCCAAATATTGTATACAGTGGAAATTTTTATTTTGGCAAGGTTATTATAATATAATACCTGAACTGCTGATCATAAGACCCATGTTTTAGTAACCTGACCTAAAAGCAGAATATTTAGGTGAGGGCAAAAAGTTCCTAAAATGTGTATCTCCTATCGGTCCAAAGAGTATTTTGTAACTCACTGTGAATTAAGAGTCATAGTGTGGTGTGTGCAACATAAAAAAGAAATAGAGTAGGAAGTATTAACTTCAGAGGGTATTGCTTTTGGTAAGCGTATGTGCTGTTTTAGGAAACTTTGTTTTAGTTACTGTGTTTGTTGGCCCTCAGGTGCTTCCTCCCTCTTCCGCTCAGCTCTGTGAGGTGAGTGGGGCTGACCCCTGCAGGCTGTACTCCCCAGCCTCCTGTGTCAGCTGCAGTCAGCCCATGAGAGACACTGGCAAGAGACTGGACGACTGAAGGACAGGAGAGAAGAAGGCAGGGCATTTCTCCCTTCTCTTTTTGCCTCCAGTTGCTTCTCTAGCAAACGCTGTATCTCCACCTTGGCTCCAACTCTGAGAGCCATCATGGCCTCAGATTTCACTAGGAGACCCTGGCTTCCAGGCTCTGTGAATTCTGCCCATCCCTTGGTTCCTCCAGTTCAGGGGTAACAGTGACTTACTGTTGCTACTCTTGGTTCCTTATTTGACTTCGCAGCTCTCCCATCACCTGCCTAATTTACTAAATTAAATCCCTTCTGTTTTCCTGGTCGGACCCTGACTGATACAATTCACTGTGTACCTAAAGTATATGTATATTGGGTCATGATATATGATACATTTCTTACTGAGAGTAGTTGTTAAAACAGTCTGAAAGCTATAGTCTATGAAAATAAATTTGATAGCATGTAGTGAATGGTGCCGGGCCTTTTTCTTCAGTTGGGCATTGATGGCTATTACTGAGTTGAAGAACAAGAATTTGGAGACATTTTCTTTCTTTGAAGAGAAACGGTGTGGTATAGAAGGTGTACTGATTGGGAATGAGGAGTCCAAGATTCTAATCTTGGTGGGTGGCCATGGGCTGTCCATTCAGCCATGTGTTTTAGCATATTATGCTTGCTTAAGTGCATGGAACCAGAGGTTCTCAGATTGGTATGTATTTTTTAAACCAGTGACTATTGTAAGAAGTTATGGTGTTACCATTCCAAGTAAGACATTGATATATAGTCTGTGACAGCTCAAAGACCAGTGATATTAGCATTTGAAGGCTGTTTGAAAGAATAGTCACTTATCTAGATCATTAAAACTTGCTTTTACTATTTAATTATGAGCCTCAATTGATAAGTAGTCATTTATTATGTAAGCATTAAAAATAACAGCTCAGCATTCTGGTCTTAAGTTCTTAGGAAAGTAATAAACATTGATATAGGACGTGCAGAATATCAGGTAATGATGGTTACAATCATTAATGTCAGTAAATAAATCACACCATAAAATTGAGGTGTCATATAAAGACAAATGCCCCCAATAGGTGGGTATATTTTTAAAGTTGTTCAATCAAATATAGGTAAAGTGTGAGGTGTCAACCTCTTTAAGATTCAGACATACCCCCCCAAACCTTAAGTCCTACATATTAAACACACAAACAAAAACGGTTGCATATTATGATCTTCTTTTTACCTTATCAGCAGATCCCTTATTTCCCCCCACATTTAAGGAAAGTCTATTACCAAAAGGCCCTAAAGAGTCATCATGAAAGTAAAATTCCAACAGAGATCACAATGTCACTGCTAAGATAAGCAATTGAATATGCACAGTCCCAGGCTTTTCCTTTATGCCCAACAGTCATTGAAGTCCGTGACTGTTCAGCTGGGTTTATCTGAAGGGGAGATAAAAGCTTCCTGCCCAGCATTAAACCTTGCCCCATGCAGAATCCAGATGCTATGACCCTTTCCCCAAACTTCTTATTCTTGTTTTATATATTCATCACTTTCTAGCTGGTAATTCCATTGAAAACTAAAATAAAGCCATATGGATGTGGAATGTACTTCATCCCTACCTGTGGAGAGACTGACTCCTCTCCCACTCCAAAAGCAGTTTATCTCAATTTCTCTAGAGTCTTCTAACGTGGTTTTAGTGGTTCTTTCTGTTTGTGTATGTTCCTGGCTCATTTTCTACTCTTCTCTTGAGTTTACATTGAACTTCAAGCATGGAAAAATGACTAAAATAAGACAACAGCAGATTGCATTTTTGTATACTAAATTTGAAGTCAGAATCGGGTGGGTGACATAATACAAGTGAAGCTGGAAAAGGGCCACACACAAATAAAAGGCAATGAACAGTAACTGAAAAGATGAGTCCAGCAACAGCGGAAGGTGCCCTAAAAGTAAATGCTGTGATGCTATCTAATGAAGCCGCGTGAGAGATGGATACAGCATGGTTGCTACTGTGGCATTTGGTTGCGGGGCTTGGAGGTGAGCTGCAGTGTCACACTGGCACAGAAGCATGTTATCATTCAGAGAAACACACTGCAAACCAAAGGACAGTAAGTACAGTCGCCTGCCAGGTGAAAGTTAAAATACTTAAACAATTTATGACAATAAAAACTTTTTAGACCCTGAAATCATGTTCGCTCCTAATGTACAACTGCGCAAAGATATGTCAAAGCCTCAAAGACGTGTTGATGATGACATTTATAAAATCCTCTCTTATCTAGTCAACATACATATAATGGAGTATTATGGAGAAAATCCTTCAGAAGGAAATTATCCATAGAAACCCTACCTCTGGAGACCAATGAAGCCTTCCTTTGGGCAGTTATAAAGCAGTTAAATTATCTAAAGATATATTAAGTTCTATAGGGTGTATTTAAGGGTAGACATGTCTGGATATATAAAATGTGCACATTTAGTTTTTTATTGTAATAAAAAATTTTTAATTTAATTTTTTATTTTCAATTACAGTTGACATACAATATTATATTAGTTTCAGGTATATAACATAGTTATTAGACATTTATATATGAAGTGATCACCCCAATAAATCTAGTACCCATCTGACACCATACATAGTTATTACAATATTATTGACTATATTCCCTATACTGTACATCCCCGTGACTGTTTTTAAAAACTGGCAATTTGTACTTCTTAATCCCTTCCCCTTTTTCACCCATCCCCCACAACGCCCCTCCCATCTGGCAACCATCAAAATGTTCTCTGTATCTATGAATTTGTTTTTGTTTTGTTTGTTAATTTATTTTGTTTTTCAGATTCTACACATAAGTGAACATATGATATTTGTCTTTCTCTAACTTATTTCACTTAGCATAATACCCTCTAGGCTCATCCATGTTGTCTCAAATGGCAAGATTTCATTCTTTTCTGTGGCTGAGTAATATTCCATTGTATATATGTACCACCTTTTCTTTATCCATTTGTCTATAGATACTTAAGTTGCTTCCATATCTTGGCTATTATAAATAATGCCACAATGAGCATAGGGGTGCATATGTCTTTCTGAATTAATGTTTTAGATTTTTTTGGATAAATACCCAGGAGTAGAGTTGCTGGGTCATAAGGAAGTTCTATTTTTAATTTTTCAAAAAAACCTCCATACTGTTTTGCATAGTGGCTGCACCAATTTATAGTCACCACCAATAGTGCACAAGGATTCCCTCTTCTTCACCAACACTTGTTATTTGTTGATTTATTGATGATAGCCATTCTGACAGGTGTGAGGTGATATCTCATTGTGTTTATTTGCATTTCTCTGATGATTAGTGACATTGAGCATCTTTTCATATGTCTATTAGCCATCTGTATGTCCTCTTTGGAGAAATGTCTACTCAAGTCACATTTAGTTTTATAAACGTTACAGAAAAAAAAAACTAATTTCTTATCAGGAATTAATGCATCATTAATGCTACTGATAACTTGATATCAGTAATTCTTACCCCATTTGAGGAAGATCCCCTTGAGAATCTGATGAAATGTATGGACTCCCTCTGCAGAAAGTGCACATTAATATGATCACAGAATTTCAAACAGTTTCAGGGGATTTGCAAATGCTCCAAAGGTCATTTATATTCCACCTGCCCCATAACCCATAATGGGTAAAGAACCCTGCACAGATGACAAATTATTGGGCAGTTTTTACATGACCAACATAGATCACTCTGAGTCTGGAGTTTGACCAGGATAGGTTAAAGATTCTGACTTCGTCATTTAGTCATCTCCAAGTATCTTGATCACATTCCCTTTGCAGTTAAAAAGAAAAAAAAGTAGAGCATCATCAATATATATATTTATTCATAATACATAATATTCAGTGTAAACATATCAAGTGCATTATAAAACATACACAAAATAGAAGTTATCAAAGAATGAGATGAAGATGATAGAAAAAAATATAAATATCTTGCTAATCATGATGATATCAAACTATCAATAGCTAATATCTCATTGCAAAATATATGCTTAGGTCAGAATTCATCATTAATGAGAATTAAAGAGAATTAAACATAAATCCAAATTTCCAGTAGTCTTGGATAATTGTGAATGTTTTTGACCTATTTCTTGTGAGATCTAATTACATTGTCATTGCTTTCACCTCTCAATATGGCTGGCAAGAACTCTTAGAGGTTAAAGTGGCAGATTGGATCTCAATTCACCTGTGCTTTGTGTTATTGGATTTATCTCTAGCTTTGATTTCTTTGAAGGAATCTTTTTTAAAACCACTTGTTTTCCAAATAAGAAGGTTGATTGGTCAAAACCAGATAATATAATCTGTGGAAGCTGTAAACTTCAGGTAATGCCAATGCCCTGAAAGTGAAAGAACCAGAGGGGGCACCCCTATCACCTTCCGCCATGGCTCGTCTTTTCTGTGAGTATTCCTCAGGTACAATTCTTGGTACATGACCAGTTTATTTGGAACCATGTAAAGGTGGTAAAGTAAATGAGCATAATAAACATTTATAATATTTTTTTGTCATTACATCATTGCATTTTTTAATCATTGAAGGAAAGAGAGAATTTCTAACGTTCTTCCCACATCACAATAAATTATCTTGCCCACTCCACTTTGGAGACTGCTGCCTTAGGCAAATTGCTTACTGCCTCTCGGCTTCCTCATCTGTAAAATGGGGATGATATCACGTATCTCATAGTGTTAAATGAATAAAATGACATAAGTAAAGGTCTCTGCACAAATTCTGGCAGATGATTTTTAAAAATTACTAAAAGAGAGTTGCTATTATAATTACTACTACTCTATTACACAATTACCATGTAAGCACTCATGTTTTTCTGAGACTAATTTAAGATCTGAACAAACAAAACCTCCTCTCAATGCTCTTTATTTGACTGCAAGAGCTGTTGCTTCTCCTCAACCTCCCACCTCCTCCATGCCCCACCAAAACAAAACAATATGAGACAAAAGAAAACCAAAAAACATTATCAGCATTTTCAGCTTGGAAAATATCATAAAGATTCAGAACACTTAGTAATCTTGTTCATTAACATGGTAATTACTAATATCGAAGACCTGCTAAATTCTGTCAGATAGTTTTAATATATATCTTTCATCCTTTCATTCAACAAAG